CCACTCTGTCTCCTGAGAATAATTGAAGAGCTATTTCAGGGAAACAGCGGCTCCGGTCTAGAAAATCGAGATTAACACCAGTAGGAATCCGTTGCGTTGGCCACGCGACACTTTATATCCCCAGAAGTTGGCACTACCTTCGCCGACAAGCGGCGGTCGCTCGGTCGGTACAGTTCGCTTGCGGACTACAAGCCACGGAGTTTTTGTTTGAAGTGTAGTACACTATGCAAACGAGACGATTTACGATTAAATAATTGGGCGTGTTATTAGTTGGAGATGGTGTTACATGGAGGCCAAGACACTTCTTTCGGTAACATGTTGGTGTTGAATTTAATGCGTAAGAAACCAGGAGCAGTTAACAGAAATACAGAATCATTAACAGTACGAAAGGTTATATAACGGATGATATGACTTCCCTCTGAATGCTCAAAATTTATGTTCTTTTCCAGTAATTGCTCCTTGTTCGGGAAGCTTGGCACACAAGCAATGTAGTGCGCATGTCAGATCGAGATATACAACTTTTATTTCCGACATGGTGAATATTTAATGAATGAATTATAGAGTATTGTCTGTTTCTACACGTATGCAGTGTCGTTTCTGCAATGTGATTAGCTTTGCAACAAATTTATGTTTGTATTTTCAATAAATGAAAATTGAGACTAACGAAGTAGACCTATAGAAAACATGGAGGAATTAAAAAACCGTATGTACTTCAAACTGAAACACACATTTCGAATCTTGTTTAAAATTAAAAATAGTTCTGTGAACTCATTCAGCGAATGGAACTGAAGTAATATAAGAAGAATGTACATTTTTTTTTGGATCGATTTGTTTTTGCAATATGGCGTCTGTCTGCCTTGTGCAGAAAGTGCACTATAAATAATTCCTTCATTTGGCTGAAGACATATTGCAAGGACGAGTGATCACGTGATCACGCCCGGAGACATTCTCATGATCACTGCGTTCTTTTCGAAATGTTCATGTAAACACATCCACATTGTTCTGCTGTAAACATTTGCTTATGCACTGCTTGCTTGCTCAGTGTCAGATTAACCTGTAATACCGATCACATAAGAGCACGAGATTAAGATCTACAGACGCCGGCAACCATTACGCACAGAGTGTTTCATCTTCTTTGCCTCTTTTATAAACATAAAGATTAAAGAATGTAAAACTATAATTTTTACCTGTTGCTTTACCTTAATGCGAAGATGAAGTGAAGAATCCGAGAAGAAAGTTCAGAAATGAATGATTGGTTTTGACAATGAGGAAACAAGAGAACATAGAAAAATTACGCGATAAAGAGACTCAAACTTGTACTCTTTTTCCGATGTCTTTATTTTGATTATATCACTGAGTATGAAATGAGCTGGACAAGTAGCACGCATAAGAGAAATAAAAAGTTCCGAGAAAGAACTTATCTTCTACTTTCCATGATAGGCACGGATCTCGTAGAGAACATGTCCAACAATTCTTCCATTTTTGCATGTGTATTCGTTGCCATGGTAACTTTTTTTTACCGATCCGTTGCCTAGCAACGATAGAAAATAAACACATAGACACAGACTGATGGGAGTAATTTATGAAGTACACATTTGAGATGAGCTCAGGTGCCATGATATACATACCGAATTTCATAAAGACTGACTCAGGCATTTAAAAGTTGATAAGGGGGATACACAGACAACATGAAGAGCGCATAAGCTTACTTTCGTTTTTTACAGAATGTGGGAAGTAAGGTAAAATGAGGATTGCCCACAGAACTTCAGTCGCAAAACCGTAAGAGCAAAGACTCCATTGGAGATTAGGCGTAGATAAGAGGATAACACTAAAGCAGGCTTCAGAGATATGTAGCATAAAATATTAAAATAAGAACATGATGCTGATAAAGTTGATGATTATGGTGACGACGACGGTGATGGTAGTGATGACGTTTCAACTATAACGAATTACGTACTCCGGGCTGTTCCTGTTCAGAATAAATCCGGAAATAACGAATTTTTAATGAATACTTCATTATGACGGCGTTGAGCAGGTTCCGCCGAAACTACATGGCTTCACATCCCAACAGGGCGCCATCTTAGTCTTTTGAACATTTGGTGGGGTTTCTCGAACGGTGTAATCATGTGTTCCTATACAGGTCAACACAACATGCAGAAACATGAATATACACTCATGCCCCTAGAGGGATTCGAAACCGCGATCTCGGTGTTTGAGCACTGAACGATATGTCTATAGTACTGTAAACACATCGAACACAAAGTACACAGAACATGCACACAAGATAGATCTGTCTGAAGAGAATGTTAATATTTGTTTCTGTCACTTTGAATAAAGAACAAAAAGTTTGCATTATGGCGTTTCTGGACATTAGCCATTTTCCTGTCTTTTATTTAAAACACAAAGTTTCGGAGGCTGAATTCTGTCTCCGTATTCAGGTGGAAACTACTCAGTTGGGTCCAATGATACAGCTGATCCCTATCTCCGGACACCAGCACAAACACAAGACAGGATATATAAACCAAGCACAGCATAAACCATCTGCGAGGGTTAAGAAAACATTAAATTATTAAAACTCTACACTTGTGAGGCCTTGCACTATTTCATGGCTATTATTAAATAAAAAGAGAACGACAGATAATATCCAGAAACAATAATTATATTAATAAACCATTGTTAAAAACTTTTTAGAACAAAGAGTTTAATTACAGTTCTTGAGGTGCAGGGTCACAAGTATTTCTTCACGGCACGCGCTTATCACCTCGATGCGGTGTGAAACGTACACCAAGTGTACCAAGTCAGGCTCATATCCCGAGGGATCAGCAGATTTCCGCGAATTTCTACCTAAACTTTGCATTCCTTACTAGTCTACATTCCTTATGATACCGATTTATGTTAATTTCTTTCACATTCAAACCCATTGACATGAAGCGAAGTTAATTGCACTACTGCGCAGAATCATACATTATTTTACTTTTGGGTTCTATTTATGTTACCAGTTCTTTTTTACGATGTGCCGACTGTGAGAAAAATAATATTCCAGTTGGGTTTCTTATGAACTACGAGTTAGCGTGGGCCAATACCCGGTGTAAGGGAGCTGACGGCTACTTCAGTGTGGACCAACAATACGATATTCAACTGAAATCAAATCAGTAGTTTGGAAGATGAAATATTCTGACAGATGGACACAGCTTCCTTATTATGCTTTTTTTTTTCCTGTGCACTTTCTCTGTAGATAACCTGCAAAGACAAACATATCGCCCTGTTGTCAATGAAGACGGAAAATGACACAAAGAAGGAAGATAAGATAAAGTTATCCAACAAATCACTGTTTCATTGATTTTATTTCCGGAATTCTTTGTCACTGAATTGTTAACTCTTTCTTTTTGGTATGGCAAATCTGAAAATATGGTGTTCTATAGCATTCCATTACATGAGTTCCCATAGAAACCATACATTAAGGCGAGAAAAAAACAGTTGAAGTATGTGGCACATATTCTTTCATATAGAATTGACCCTGACTGCCTTGGAAACGAAGTCGATATTGTTCAGTAGATCATTGTTGGTATGAGCTGGCACAACCCAGTCGGTATAGCAACTAGACGGCCGAGGTTCGATTCCAGGAAGGGGTAAGAAATTCTTCTCAACTCTACAGCTTCCAGATCGGCTCTGGGGCCCACCCAGCCTCCTATATAAGAAAAAGGGTCTCCTTTCTTGGGGGTAAAGAGGCCGAGGTGTGAAGCTGATCACCTTTCATCAACTGGTGCTGAGGTGAAGAATGGTGGAGCTATACATCCACTCCTCTATATGACTTCATGGCGTAGTGTTTGCTTAATTAAGCACAGAGATAACTTTGCCTTTAGACCATTGTTGATTACTGAATATAGGACAACAGTGTAAACCACCTGGCCGATAAAGTCACCTCCTGCACTTCGCGTTTGGGCCCCAGTGTGCTTACAGTTATTTTCCTGCGGACACCGCCTATGCAGTTTTGTTTACGGAGATGGGTCACCATAGTTACTTATATGAAATCTATGTCTTTACAGCATTTTCGAAACTAATGTGTATTTTGTTTTCTAGGGCCCATCTGAAGGGCCTCTGGTTTTCGAATTAGAATATTAATCATATTCACCGGGCATCGACTTATGACGGGTAAACTTTTAAATCATCATCATCGGAAAACAGCCCCTTTTTTAGCCATAGCCTTCCTTCTGTCTGATTTTTCTATTAAATTAGACGATGAGGGTTTCACTGCTTTGGATTTCGCAACAATAATTTATTTTTTTACGGAGCAAGATTGTCAGCCTTGCATTCAACATCCAACCTGGAAGACCAGATGCCCTCGGAGCAGCTTCCTTTTCGTCGCTTTCTACGACTTGCAGGGTTACGGTGGAGGTATTCTAACCTGCCTCCAAACTGTTGAATGCAAATAAAATCCGTCCAGCCGTTCAGGCATTAGGAGACTCACAATAGTGGGACGAATAAAGACGGCCATTGCTAGGCAACGACGCGTTAAACAAGTTTCCATAGCAACGAATCATCATGAAACAATAAATGAATTGTGAACGATTCGCCAGCAGCAATTTAACGGACCGAAGTTAGTCGTGAATCGGAGGTAGGAGCCGACGGTTAGTCACTCTTGAGTTGTACTGATGGTAGCCGCTACCTAGCAGCGACTAGAGAACAGACAAGACTTTATGCGTGCTGTAATTGTAGTGATGTAGAAAATATATAAATCAATGAGAATATTTTAGTTTTTATAGTTACAAGTTATAAGCGTTTAATAAATTGCATTATAGATCCAAACCCCTCGTCCATAAGTTTCTGTACAGGAATATGTATATTTTTCATTACCCTAGCAACTGTAGATTCGTATCGGCATTACATAAGCATAAAGACCGTTGAGGAATGGAAAATAGCAAATACCACATTTAGAAACTGTGCTGGGCTCAAATTTACGTTCATATTTCTTACCAGATTTTGTTTTCTTTTCCCCTCAGGTCGCCGGGAGCAGTACGGACCAGATGACCACCGAGCGCCAAGCCTGCGGTCTTGGTTCTTTTTTTCCCATGAGTTGTCGGGGTCGGGCCGAGGCTTTTGCCCGTCGGCTTCAAAGTCGTCTGCAGTCTTTGGGCCGCACTGGTTCCAGAGATGGCGCATCCTCCCCAGCTGACGAAAACAGTTGGTTAACGAGACAACCCGAGGTTACTAGCCACCAACCTCGACTGAGTTCTTCCTCAGAGTCCGACATTTACTTCGACTTCGACCTGGACTGCGAGAGTCCCGGAAGTCCAGTTGAAGAAACTCCATACTCAGAAACTCTCTCACACTACGTTGTGAACAAGAACCGAGCCTTCCATTGTCCTCCAAGGGCACAGTACTCTTCTGAATCTGGCTGTGTGTCCTCACCATCTACAGTTACTGGTACATCTCCGGACAGTGACAGTTCAGATGGTGTTTACTTTGATTCGGAGAATGTAGACGCTGAATTGTACAGTAACCATCAAAATCGTAAACACGAGCACAGCCCCGAATCTTCTCGAGAGACTGGTTCAAGGGACTGCAACCAGATTGAAGTTCCGAGTTCAGACAATAGCCCAAATGTTAAGTTAAATGGCCACATCGTGGGTCTGAAACAAGAATCATCAACTTTTGATGAATTCAGGCGTGTTGGAAAGCGTAATTTTAGAAATGCAGCTGGTTTCAGAGTCAGTAGCGAAGATAAAGCATCACGAGGCGCGAGTGAAAGAGATATTAAGCCTGTCTCCTTCAGTGATCTGGGTTCTCTATCCAGTGAAAGTTCTATCACTGATGAATATTTTGAGTGCATTTCGCCAAAACTAGAGGAGTCATTGTCTGACGTTGCGAAGCGCTTGAATGATAGCGGATACCCAACCATCGCCGAGTCTTCCACGTGTAATTCACAAAATGAAACCCGTCAGACTGAAACTAACAACTCCGACCCACCACGAGATGAAGTCTGCAGCTTTGCGCAAAGCTGTGATGTATCAAGTGGAAATACAGATTCCATCCCTCATAAGTCTGACGAAATTTCTTCGGAGACTGAAGAGTCTCTGAATTCCCCTGGTCCTGATATCTCTAGAACAGACGTGTCTTGTAGCAGTGAGCCTCACTCTACAGTATTCAGTCTTGATGAAAGCAAGTCTCACCTGGAATCCCTCAGCTCAAGGTCCACAGATATTTCTGAAAACCCAGATGATACTTGTATCAACTCCTCTTCAGAATCTTTGTACACTTCAACTCTAATCCGGCCTAGCAAACTTACCATCGATTGTCGAATCAGTCTCACGGACGCATCGGAACAAATAGAAGAAAGAGAAACTACAGAAACATCTGATAAGAAAATAAGTGAAGATGATGATGATGATGATCTAAACCGACCCACTCCTCGAGTTCGACGCTGTTCCTCTCTCAAGACGGGAAAGACCCCTCCTGGCACACCAGGTCGTAAGAAGATCGTTCGATTTGCAGATGTACTAGGATTGGATCTCGCCGATGTCCGAACATTCTTGGATGAGATTCCCAAGGTTCCACGTTCGGCCTATGAAGATCTTCAGTGCGCCGAGCTCTCAGACACTGTTGCTGATTCGTCAATGAGAGAAGGAACTCTGAGTGATATCCTTGGGTCAGTGTGTCTGAGCGGGAAATCTAAACCAGACCGTTGCCTGATTCCATTGTTCCAGCAGCCAGGCGGCCAACCTGACTTCATAGACCGCGTCAGAGATGATTTCGTATGCTTGGAGAATGCTATGGTCACCGATACAGTCTCATACAGCATTTCAGGGACTGTCCGAGTGCGAAACTTGGACTTTCACAAGAGTGTTCATGTAAGGTATACTTTAGACGGATGGAAGACTTTCGCTGACCTGCAAGCCACGTATGTTCCAAACACCTGTGATGGTTTCTCTGATAAGTTCAGCTTTGTTTTGTATGCTCATACGGTTCAAGTTGGACAGCGCGTCGAGTTTGCCATAAGGTTTCAGTGTAGGGGTGGACAGTACTGGGACAGTAACCGTGGCGCAAACTATGCTTTCCAGTGCCTGCCTCCCGCAGATCACACTTCATATCTACCCTTGTCCATGCCCATGCCAATACCCATCAGCCCAGACGATCATTTCTCTTCTTCCTTCTACTAAATGGCAATACATTTAGGAAAGGTGTAACCACGGCTACTGTATTGGGTCTCTTATGAGGCATCAGACGATAAAACAAAACAAGATACACTTGCATAACTTTCACGGCGGATAACTATAAAGATCTATCGTTTTTATTTATCGTAATTTTAATGTACTTGTAAATTGAAATTGAGTTATTTCATGTTTTAAGCACGTTTAATTATGGCATTTCTTTTTATTAACGAGCGAACTTTTAGCCGTGCCTTGTTCCATGTTTCGTTTGTTAATCGATTACTGGCCTTACAGTGGATGCAGCTGTGATGCTTTTTGGAGACTTAACACATTTATGTCAACATCTAACACGGCTTACAAGTTACCCAATGCACTACTTATGGTTTCACTAGAAGACTCCCACCCTCTGAAAAGCCATGGCAGTTCAGATTGGACGGCCGGTGCCCGAAACCCAGTAGGAGAGTTGGTGTTTGCTCCCAGGTAGACCACACTACGAATATTTTGCAACAAGCGTACTGATCGATCGTGGGGTCCATCTAGTGTCTTGTCAAATGGGCACTCGGGAAGTTTCTGTGGGGATTAAGCGTCCGGAACGTGAATGTTACCTCTCATCTAGAAATATGCCCAGGTTAGTAATGTACTTAACGCCGACCCCTACATTTATCTGGATATCCAAATTGTTTCAAGTCCCACAGTTATAACAGCGTCGACCTCAATATCAGCTTGTAGGATGGCCATGTAGATTTCTGGAACCAGAGTTAAAGGTTGTAAATTTGATACATTTGCTAATTTCTACTCTTTTTCTTGTGTCTGTATGTGAAAAATCAAGCGTCTCCAGACGAGTGACCGAGGGCAGAGCGGTCGCCCCGCCATAAGGCCGTCGCCCCGTTTATTCATTCGAAAATGATACAGGATTAAGGATACAAGAAATTATGTGAGGAACCTACAGACTATTTAAAGGCCGTGGTTAACTCTTTCCATGTTAAATATTATGAAGCAATGTAATAGTGTACACATAAAAATATTTTATAGCCACTTTTAACGTTGTTGTGTGTACGTATATTTCTGTAATCATATTTCTATGTTCTCGCCTTTGTATACTGATACACAGCATAATAGTTATGCTACAAAAACAATATTTTGGAAAGTATTGTCCTTGGTAATTCTTTATTTTTAAGAGAGTTAAAAATTTTTAGAAGTAGGATGATGCAGTCCCTATATTAGGTTCTCTGTATTGTCAGCAGTGGGGTCTGAATTGAGAAATCTTTATTTTTGTCGTTAACTTTTCATGCTGGATCTTCAACGCCATTACCATCGACGATTTGATCGGTAATTGCTGTCAGAGTTGTTTTAAATGAAATAATAAACAGATGTGCCATACGAAGTGTTTTCATGCCTTGCAAATATTATCCAGAGAATGTTGTAATGTAATAGACAGTATATACACGTTAGTGACTAAAGATTTGGGTGGAACAAAGCATTGGTACATTCATGTTGTTATTCCTATTGTATTGTACTTCAATCCTGAAGCTTGTTCCTATATTACAGATGTTTTGAAAAAATTTGAATAGTTTAATTTACTTTTTGAATAGTTTAATACGTAGTTTTGATGTGTGTTTTTCATTTATTGTATATAAAATAAACCGAATAGTACGAAAAACTTATTTTGTTAGGAAATCATTTGAGAAGGTTTCGTAAAGGACGAACGCTATAGCCGCACGAAGTCGTAGAGTGAATTTTATTCCTGTGAGCGAGGATTCAGGTGGAAGAGTTGCACGCCTTTCCCATCAAATTGGGCCAATCCATAGCGCATAAGTTAGCTTCCCGGTTGCCCTCTCTAGAAACCTTTCTGTATTGTTGACATATTTTTACACATGTATATCCCATATTGTGCATAAACCTTAAGGATATACACGTATAATTATCCGTTTACATGGTCGATTTGAGAGAATGTTATGTTATATGCCTAGAATTTATCTGAAGCAATCTGTTATACTTGTAATATAATCGCCATTTATTCTCATAATTCTATGGCTTAATTTTTACTGAAGAATGTTGATATTGGATTTTTTAAGTTTTTAAAAATAACTTTATGGATTCGTATGAATGGAATATTCAGTGCTGCTGCTAATGGTGATCATAGGACGATATAATGTTACAGCCAAAATGTGACAGTAGTGTTTCCTTTTGAATATGTCAGCATTTGTTGTGAAAGATGTGACAATGAAAGGCCGAAAAACGCTTATAGGTTCGTTTTGATGAAGGTGTTGAATTATCTACCTAAAACGTACTCGATGTTGTGACAGTAGCTGTGATCCACACTTTGACTAACATTATTGATAATGCTAATCAACATTATAGGAATTTTATGTGTGAACTGAGCGATCAAATCAAGAAGGATTTGATAGACGAGGGATACAACACACACATTAGAGAGATTAGAAAAGCGTACAAAATAATGGTCGGAAAAAACCGTGATGGGAAGAGGACTCCAGAAAAAAGATGTAGTCGTGGATGAGACAATAATTTTAAAATGGATTGTAAGGAAGTAGGGAGCGAAGTTGCGTGCCGGATTCATTGACCCAAGATGGAATCCAATCTAGGGCTTTTTCGACAGGATGATAAATCTTCAGGTAAAATAAAAGTGAGGACTTTCGTTATTATCCGATCGACTTGTCAAGAAGCGCGTTCCATGTACTCAGTACAGGCAAACAACGCAATAGAAGGCACGCTCTCTCGGCAACTTTTTTATATAAATTTGCCAGAGTTATGACAGTTTTTTAAATACTCCAGTTACTTTATGGAATTCACGTCTGTGTTTATAATGTGCGGAATATTAACCGCGGCGCGAGACTCTTTGTTCTCGGCAGATGGTGGCTAAGGTCCCGGCTAGCGGGCCGGCGGTAAGGCGGTCAGGCGATTAGGCTTTCAAGGAAAATCCTGTGTTCATACGACACTAAATTTATTCATCATCGAGTTCCATCCAGGAAACAGTTACAAAGTAAGAATAAATGATACATTTTATTTTTTCTTATTTAACTATATATCTGATCAGTAAATTAAATAAAATTAACTGAATTATATAGGCAGAGAATTGAACGTACTTGATAAAATTGACTGAGGTGAACTGGTGCTTTCGATATCTCCGTTATTCTGTTTACATTGTCCGGCTGATGCATTTCTGACCGGAAAGAAGCGTGTTACCGCCTCTCCTTCTTGTTACAGTGTTTTACGAAATCTAATTTTGTCAGTGAAACTTATGAGACCGACATCCGCGCAGATTAAAGTGGAAAAATAATCTTTGTCGTCCCTGGAATGAAGACTTGCGAAGGCAGCTGAATGTGTTCTAGAGATTACGCACATGTGAGGTGGACAGTTTTGTTTTAAATTGAGAAATAAAGGAACTAGCGGAAAACCGATCACTTTCTTTCTGCATAGAATAATGCCTAGCATTCATAAGACGTGGATCATGGTGAAGGGTAGGGATTGACGTCTATATTTGTAATTTATAACAAACACAGTAATATTTTTCATGCAAAACCGGTAGACTTGTTGTAAATTGCTGTACCGATTTCGTACTATTTGCTGCAATTGTCCATCACTTATGGTAAAATGCCCTTCTCACGTTTCTCTTGGTCTGCTTCTTATTTTCCACTTTGCTCAGAATTGACCTGAATTGAAGTTTAATATTTTTCGGGAAAATGTAACGATAAACCAACACGATTTTAGGACACTGCACTGAATAGCGACGTGCTACGAGCTGGACGGCCGGGGTTCGATTCCCGGCAGGGGAAAGATCTTTTATAATATCCAGACCGGCTCTAGGGCCACGAAAACTCCATATAGTGCCGAGGTCAAGAATGGCAGAGGTATACCTCGACTTCTGCTTGTTTCCTGCATAATGTAGTTACGTATTCATATATTTCAGGAATTTTGAAAGCCACGTGTAGATAGCGGACTGATATGAGCCTCTCAGGGTTGCTAACAATGCTGAGAACGCTGTTTCTCAGGCGCTGCAATTGCAAAAGTTCTCCGCATGCTCTCAGGTGGGACAGGCATAAGCGATTATTGACAGAATTGAGATTTTATGAAGAATAAATTTAATATTATTGTTTTTTTCAGTTTCTTAATCCTATACACAGTCGGTAGGACTCTTTTGGACGGGGGATCAGTCGGTCGTAAGGCCGCTACCTACACACAGAACAGCGCAAACACAGAATAAACGCACACAGGCATCCATGCCTTGAGTGGGATTCGAAACCACGGTCCCAGCCTTGGAGCGAGCGAAGACAGTTCATGCCTTAGATAGCTCGGCCACTGTGATCGGCATTTCGAATGATATATGAATACTAAATTGTAAGAATAACAACATGTCTCAAGTCCTAGCTGTGGTTTGGCTAAGGTGGTTTATTCAAGTATTTCTCATCACAGAGATACTCGTGACTTACGTAACTGCCGTGTAGCTGCGCGTTACGCAACCGAGGTATAGTTGCATGTTATTTTAAGTACGACTGATCCTAGTCTATGTATATCGACCTTCTGCAGACTTAATGATACCTCTTTGTATTGGTACGTGACAGTTCGTCAGCAGATTTATCTTCAAAAGAGTTGGGCAAACACGTACACCATTCATTCAGGCCTTCCTCTGCTAGGCCTCCACCAGGGGAGTGGGAAACTTGATCTCTCACTCTGGCGGAAAGAAATGCAACTGACGATGTCAGCAGGAGCTGCATACATACACAAGCGCTCTGAGGTGTTCTCAGAGGATTGAAGTCAGGTGAGCGTGGAGGCCATGCAGTGGGTAGTCCTCTACCTATCCATCAGCCATGATGTGTTACTGAGAACATGTCGTACGGCACGGAACACCATCATGCATGTACCACATTCGTGCTCTGACTGTCACTGGTACATCTTCCAGTAGCTTTTGGCGGACCATGTAAGGGGAAATCCCGGAAGTGGTTGCCTGTAAGCCGATGCGGCAAAACATGTGGGCCTGCCGAACAATCACCAACAATCCCTGCCCACTTATTAATGCTGGACTGCTGCTGGTGTCTACACAATATTCTTTCAGCGATAACCAACAAATTAAATGTTTCCAGACACATTCTGGTATTGATATTTTTTCTTGTTTTGGTATTCGCAACTCCTTGTCGAAGTTTGTCCGCATTTTTCAGTTACACCCTGTATACACATAAGCTATTCATTTTCATGAAGGGTTTCGTAATTCTAAGTTTCAACTGATATCTTTACGGAAATGGAATCAAGAAACACGTGGGAATATAGCATGATGGGGAACATTAGCAATCCATAAAGAATTGATTGGAAAGTCGCATAATAAGGAACCATTTTGGAACATAAGCTTGGACGGAGGAATGGTATGAAAATATATTTTATGCTTCTCACTGGATTTATCTGGCTCGAGAATGATTCAGTGACGTACTTCTGTGACGACAGGAACAACTTTCGCTTTCCTTAACAACAGGAAATTCCTGAGTCAGAATCATAACTACACATTTATCATTTGACCGTACAGTCAATTAGTTCGTCAGTCAGTAAGTTGCTGAGACATGTTACTGTTAAAGTAGGGCTCACATAGGTTTGCTGCACCTTCTTGAGATACTTTGCCAATTTCTGGGCGCACAGTAGGCGGACTCAAGCATATGTTGAACTCCAAGGCCATCTTGTGTGTGAGGAACTCCAAATATTGCCTCAGTCAAGAACCATAAAAATATCAAGATGCATTTTATGACAAACCTGAGAAAGTAATACAGAGCTGTTTGTTTTCTCTAGCAAGTCTTACTACGTGTATAAACTCTGATACACCGTGGGCAGGTAAGCGTCATCAACACCGAGTGTCCCTATATTTTATGCTTCCTCAAGCTCCTATCTCGAGAAATTTGTATGCATCAATTTTCATCTAATGCTGTGCCGGTAGTTGTTTTCAGGGGAAAATTTCCCTCTTGTTTATCTTTCGCTCTTTACAGATACAAACTTATTTGTCGCATCATCAAAACTACTCGTAAAATTCCACACAGCTTTCTTAACTCATTTACTTTCCGAAAGCAACGGACACTATTGAGACTCTTTATTGTTTAATATACCGCAGAATGNTTCCACACAGCTTTCTTAACTCATTTACTTTCCGAAAGCAACGGACGCTATTGAGACCGCAGAATGCTGGCCACAAAACATTACGATATTACAAATTTCCAACCCCTGAAGTGTTCATGCATGAAGATTCTGTATGTACGTATTCTGTACGTATACATTTCACAGTGATGAGATGCGATAAATCAGTCCGTAAAGAAACTGACTGAAATCTAACTTAGAGTTAAAATTCATGTTACGGCTGATGGTCACGCTTGGCGTCAAGCCCCGTCTGGGGCTCACAATCAGATTTCAGTCTTTAGACATTTATTGGTTTGAAGCATTAACGCTAGCAATCCATTGAAAGTCGACAAACGTTTGGGCTAATCAATCTTGTTGCCTGCTTCATGCTGGTTGCTTACTTGGCTTACTCTTCAGCCCTGAAGATGGAGGCGAAATGTTCCCCCTAGACGTTGGTTAGCTTTCGAAGGGCTATACGCCCTTATATCTCAGAAGATGGAAA